TGTGCTGCAGCCTGTCATTTACACCCCACCTCCACCCCAGTAAAAATAGTTTTAGATATGTTCAGTAAGTGCAAAAAAAACCTGTTGACCCTGGCTGAAATCCAAAGCTGCCCTGAATCCTATGCACTCTGTATTATCTCAAATAGTTTAATCTGACTTGCCAAGTTTTCCCTTGTACCACATAACACCTCCCCTCCATGTTATGGAGATGCAGATAGGGGGCGATTCTGTAGTTCAGCAAATTAGCACTAGGCAGCTGGGCAGGGCTGACAACAATCCTTTGCAATTTCACGGTAGCAAAAGCATTGTGTTGTCAACCCAAAACAGGAAATTAGGAGCTGAGTGCATTTCTACCAGGATCAACATTTGCTCTCTTTACTTGTAGCATAAGGGGTACAACATGGAAAAATCTGCAAGTATAGCACAGGTGTACTGCATAATTTTATTCCCCTTACATACACTTTAAACTTTTTTTCCAAAATTAGGAAAAAAAAACTTACCTTACCATTGTGCCCCTTTCAGTGTTGACCAATCAAGGCTGTCAGTCACTGCTCCACGCCCAGCCTCCATCACGTCTGCTGCTTCGTCCGAGACCCACTCATCCTTTTTAACTACTGATTGGCCTCTGATATGTAACTTCTGCATATATGCACAGCCTTTAATTTTTCCCCCAACTCCCAGTTCTATATTCCATCTCACAAATGCCAGGAAAGAGGCAGAGTAGACACTGCACAATACGTGCCACAAGAGCAGTGTTTTGGCAGAAGAGATTTTACCAGTCTATTATGCCAGAAGACGCCACATTTTATCAGTTTTTAATTTTTAACTTTAGTTCCACTTTAAAATGGTGTTAACTGGAGTAAAGCTGGCCATAGATGGATCAAAATTTGACAGTTCAGACGAATTTCAGTCTATGTGTGGGCATCCTAGTTCGACAGAATTTGAGTGCTAGGTGGACTTCTTTCGAACATTAATGTTGCTAAACTTTTGTCCATAACAGCTGTAGCCAGTGATCAATGTATTCCTACATCAGAGAGTCACGCTGTCAGAATTCAATGTCTCGGTGGGGGTGATTTCTCCATCCACCTTATTTGTGTGGAGGAATCATTATTTTTTTTTTTTTTTTTCATTCGGGCCACTGGTTGATCAAAAAATAAACAAAAACAGATCTATGATCAGCCTTGGTCTCTGTGAACTGGTGACCAGTCACTGGGACTAAAAGTGAGGTAAAATCTAAGATTTTGAGTTGCCACCAGAATAGGAGTAATGGGAAAATCTTCCAATGCAAACACTCATTCAGATAATAGCCAAAAGATTTACCTCATGTTAGAGAGATTTCCACTCATTTTGTGTTGTGTCCACAAGACAAGAAGTAAATGGAAATCTTTTGAATGGCACCTTGATGTGAAAAAACTGACAAGGGTTTTAAAGAAGTATGGCCAAAGCTCTTTTGGCCATACTTTTGTGGCTCACAGGAGTGCACTTAGTTTTGCACTCCTATGACCCAAATTCAGATGACTGCAGGCTAAATTCCACTGTTGGCTGACGTCACAGAGCCTGTCCAGGGATCCTGACAATGTCGGGATCCGCCCGTATACCTGACCAGCAGCTGGCTCAGCCTGCACTGCTGAGAGCCTGAGCCAGCGTCTCCTACTCCTTCCACATCCCAGTGCTCCATTAAGCACTGGAGGGGCAGAGCAGAGAGGTGACTGACAGTCATCACTCTGTCACATTGCAGACCTGAAAACTGAGTGATTTGGTACTGCCAGCGTGGGACAACTGCACCATCGAATTAATGCTGCCTCCACACAAGTGAGTATGTAAGTTTATTTTCATTTCTTCTCCTGCACTTCTCTTTTAAATATATTCCATACATTATCTAAAAAAGTTTAGGCTTTAAATAGGTCCACGTAAGGCTACCCTGTCCAAGCGATGGTAATGCTGCCACACAATTTCACTGCAGAAGGAACAGTGTTGTCATCCTGTTAAAGTATAAGTTCACCTTTTGTTACATGTTGCATCCGTATTCATGGTGTAACATGTTACTCTTGCAGCAGCCCCCGCCCTGCCCTGATCCTCCATTGTGATAGCGGGTCGGGGATCTTCACCCTGTACCCGCTGTCACCCGGCCGAGTCATTCATTCACAGAGTTCTTTGCAACTGACAGCTTGTAGTTCTCAATGATCTACCAGGGAGCTGTTGAGCTCTCTAGGTAGTTCATGGATGCTTCCTGTCATTGTTTAACTTCCTGCCCATATGAGGTACATGCAGACAGATACATTGACACTCTGCAGGAGCCTGAGATTGCACCATTGACCTGCTGATACTTTGCAGGCTCCTAGAGAGAAAAATATTTTTCACATTTTTTTTTACCTGAAAAATGATGTGCATTTATTATTTTTTTTGCAGAAGAACAAAAACTATAATTCTGGCAACACACTGTCGAAAACTTGCAAAACTCTTTTTTAGTAGATAAAGTAAGGGAAGATTACAACCCCTGTCAGATATTTTTGCCATCTTTGTCCCATTGTGGAGATTTCCCTTCACATCCTGTCCCATAGCCAAAACAGGAAATGAGAGGAAAACCCTCCAAAGTTAGCGAATCCCTGGTTGTCACCAGGGTGACCAGAACTAGTATCACCATTAGAAGATTTTCGCTCTATTACTGTTCTGGAGACTACCCAAAATTTGGAATTTCATTTTAGTTTCCCTTTCAATGACAATGGTAAACAGGACAAATAGAGAGGGTGTACCTCGCTAATGGAGGTACAGACAGCAAAAACAACTGACAGGGGTTCTGATTGTTTCCCACTCTACACAAATTTAAAAAAATGTTTTACCTTTGCTTATACCTAAATGAATAGAGGCTTGTAAGCACTTCTTGCAGTGTTTGTGGTTTGTCACAGCCCCTGTAACTGCTAGACAGCTACGTCTGCACGCAAATGTGAAAAAAAAAATATAAATAAAGGCATGTAAAAAAGGAGTTTAATAATATCATTGTAGGTGTTATTAACCCCTTGGCAGCGAGCGTTTGAAAATGAGCGGCTCCGCTAGACTGTTTTTTTTTTTTCCGTGGGGCCGCTAATTTGCGTACCTGTCTTTGTGCTGGGAGCAGGACGCACAGCACATTCCCAGTACAAAGACCAGGGTGTTAGTGAGAGCTACGGGTTCCATTCTAATGATCGGGACCCGGACTCCTGATTCCGGGTCACATGATTGCTGTGAAAGCCTCTGAGTGGATATCATAGTGATCAGTCACTGTAGAGCCTGTCCCCCCTTGTTTTCTCTCTCTGAATGGAGGAGAGAGGATACGTTATATCCCTCTGTGTCCTTTCAGAGAGAAACAAAAGTGTTTGCATATAAATAAATAAAAAAAATAAAAATACCTAGATCAAGGTTTGATCTAGGTCAGTGCCAGGGTTAGTGTTTGGGTCAGAGTCAAAAGTCGGGGTCAAGGGGCAAAGTCAGCATTTTTTTTTTTTTTTACGTTTTGAAATTAGAATCAGTTAATGGCAGGGGAAGAAAAAAAGCAAAATGCGCACTATTGTTTCTGGGCCTTACTACGGGTACAAACAACAACTAACATATGTGGTATCGTTGCGTTCGTCAGGAGCAGGTTAAATTATTTTGGGTTGTTCTTTGGAGGTTGGTTATGGTAGTAGCAAGAAATATACAACTAAATTTTAAAGGAATTTTTTTTTTTTTTTTTTACTATTTTCGGTCAGTTTTGCTTTTGGTAATAAAAAAAAAATCAGGAGATATCCATTACATTTACCACTTAATGAACGCCCAATTTGTCTTAAAAAAAACAAGGTATAATCCACTTGGATGCACAAAATAGCTGTGATGATATGTACAGTTTTGCTAACACATGTCAAAGCTGCAGAATTGTGCTTAGGCTTTAAGATTTATTTTACCCTTAGGCTTGAAGGGGTTAACATATAAACACTATAGTGGTCTTTTACTACATTGTTCTATCATTGTCTTTATTGCACACAGAGGGTTGGATTTGGAATGGTTGTGCAGACCCATTTTATGTATTCGTCTGATCCTTTTTGGACATGGTAATAATTTTCTGAGGCAAGAGAAGAAGCAATCTGTTGGTGGTGAAGTATTACCTGCTCTGTGAAAGCTATGTAGTGCTTCCTCAAAGCCAGACCTGCTAGATTGATGGGTTTTGTCCATGGATCTGGAGCTTTGGGTGGTTTCTTACACCAGACTGGGACACTGTATTATGGTTCAGTGAAAACCCATGGTTTGTTAGCATTACTGGCAATATCTTATTTTGTCCTTTCATCTCAAGTCTACCCTCTTTGGTTGAGACTGCATGTACCAATGTTGTTTTAGTTGACTGCATTGCTTGTAGAAGTTCAGCTGGACTTGCTGCAATTCAGTCACATGTAGCTTAAAGTGGTTCTAAGTCCTAAACATTTTTACCTTAAAGTGGTTGTAAAAGCTCAAACTTTCTGTGTGCAGCATACCCCCCTAATACTCACCTAAGCTCCCTCTCGATCCAGCAATGTGCACTGGAGTCTCGGCTATCTTGGGATTCCCTTTCCTCATTGGCTGAGACAGCAGCAGGAGCCATTGACTCCTGCTGTTGTCAATCACAGCCTGTGAGCCAATGAGAGGGGACGGGGCCAAGCCACTGCTCCATGTGTGAATGGACACACGGAGCAGCGGCTGGGGAGTGCACATGCTCGGGTGCCCCCATAGCAAGCTGCTTGCTGTGGGTGCATCTGACAGGAGGGAGGGGCCAAGAGCATCGGTGGGGGGGGACCCCAGAAGAGGAGGTTTGGGGACACTCAGGTATGTAGATTATGTTTGTTATTAATAAAATAAAATTGACTTTACACCTACCGCTTCCCACCCACCATATAGTAATATGATGACGCAAGTCGGTTTCTCTTGTTCTGGGAGGACATCATATGATGTCCTCCTATTCTCACCACGCATGCGCGGCTCCGGGAGCGCGCAGCGCGGCGATTGGCGGTGCGCTGTGTCCCTCGGACACAGTGGATCACCGATCCACGGAAAGAGCCGAAGATGTCGGCTCGGTCATGTGATCAGCTGTGTCCAATCACAGCTGATCACATGTAAACGGAAATGTCGGTTATCGGCATTTCTCTCCTCACGAGCTGTCACGCTGACAGCTTGTGAGGAGAGGAGAGCCGGTAATCGGCATTCCTCGGAGGGGACATCTACACAGATCATCAGAGCACTGATGATCAGTGTGCCCTGATGATCTGTGTAGCCCCAGCAGCGCCACCTGTCAGTGTCCATCAGTGCCAGCTCTGTGCTCATCCATGCCACCTGCCAGTGCCACATCAGTGCCCATTAGTGCCACATCAATGCCACATATCAGTGCCCATCTGAGCTGCCTTTCAGTGCCACCTATCTGTGCCAGTCAGTGCTACCTATCAAGGCCAGTCAGTGCCACCTTTCAGTGCTGCCAATCAGTGCCACCTATCAGTGCCAGTCAGTGCCGCCTATCAGTGTGCATCAGTGCTGCCTATCAGTGCCGCCTAACAGTGCCAGTCAGTGCCACCTATCAGTAATGCCTGTCAATGCCGATCAGTGCCACCTACCAGTGCCTCCTCATCAGTGCCCATCAGTGTCCATCAGTGCAGCCTATCAGTGCCCATCAGTGCAGCCTCATTAGCGCACATCAGTGAAGGAGAAAAATCACTTATTTACAAAATTTTATAACAAAACTTAGAAAAAACTTTTTTTTTTTTTTTTTTTTTTTTTTTAATTTTCAGTGGTTTTTGGTTTGTTAAAGAAAAAATAAAAAACCCAGAGGTGATTACCACCAAAATAAAGCTCTATCTGTCACCAAAAAATTATAAAAATTTCATATGGGTACAGTGTTGCATGACTGCGCAATTGTCATTCAAAGCGCAACAGCGCTGAAAGCTGGAAATTGGCCTGGTAAGGAAGGGGGTATAAGTGTCCTGTAGGTTGGTGGTTAAACTACATTTTTAGTCTCTTTTGACTTTTCTACCTCACTTTTTCTTGAATCGCAGTGCATATGTAGGCAGTTTGAAGTATGCGTTAGTTAGATGCTGCCCCGAACGGGAGGGTAAGGGGTTAATGCCTTTTTCAGTTCTTTAATTTTTGGCGCGTTATCTCTAGGTCTGACCCACTGAGCCTGTGATAAAAAAAGGACAGTGGTCCAGAAGAGAGAGCCAACAGTAGAGGCCCGCTTTAAGGTCGAGTATTTCCCCATGGCAACATCAGCCATGTCCCAAGGCATTGGTGAAAAAGGTACCCCATTTGTATTGAAAGCGATCCTGTTACATGTGCCTAGCATAGCCCAGAAAAACCCATCTCTCGGGTAGTCCTCTTATGTAATCCAGACTTGGTGTCCAATGAGTTAATGGGGAACATGGAGGACGGTCCATCACCCGTCTGCCTACTACTCCTAGCCCCACAGCCCACAGGTATAGTATCTGCAGTTGTTATAGGGGTCAATACACTCTTTCAAATATGTTTGTAGTAGCTTTGTACCATATTTATTAGTATGCTGTACATACTTTTCTTTGCAATAAAAGAGGGGAAGTAGCCAGAAAAGTTTTATTGTGAACTACTTTGTATTGCTTTATTGTACCCATATTACATATAGCAAATATTATATTCTGATTGAAAAGCTTGTTACATTCCATATTTGAATGGAATACAATTATATTTTATATAAAATGTATGTATTTTAAAAATCCATGTTAACCTTGATTGAGTTTTTTTACAGAATACAAAATTTGATTTTCTTCTGTAGATGTTATGGGTATAATACAATATATAAAGAATATCTATCATTCTGTGCTGTTACACATAGCTGTTATAGTTTTTACATAACAGTTATCCTTTATTTTCAAAAATTAATTGTGTCCTTTAATCTTCCACTGACAATTTCTTTTAACTGATAAGTATTCCTGACATGCTTCTTCCTCCTTTCTGATTACCACCACTGCTTAAGCCATATCCAACAATGGGTCCTAGAGCTCATTAATATCTATTTAGATATAGAAAGGCAAGATGAAAAATCAAGTAATAAAAAAGCACGACTTTCAGTGTATATGATCTTATTGGGATATCCTCTGTGACCCTTTTGAGGGATTCTGATGTGTGGTTGGACTGCTAAATATGTCGAGTTAATTGATCAGCCAGATCCGGCCTCACATGTGTTAAATTTCACCAACTTCCTCCAATACTTATCTGCTCATGCATGGTTAACTTGGAATGCCCATACACACAAGGCCTGTTCATGCCTAAGCAACGCTGTCCAATATTTAAATAAGTAGTAGGATAAATTAGAAAATTTCAAAATACATTTGCACTGGGGTATTGTGAAATAGGCAAAAAGTGGATTGGGGATTTTTTTTCTATGTAATATACCCACCAGCTGAAGTTAATTTACCATACACTAATGAGCCAAAAAAGTAGAAACCCTTTAGCTATCTGTTACACTTGCCATATATCATTGTTTAATTTAGTGCTGTTTGTATTGCCCAACAGCATCCTGTTTTGAAAAGTTGATAATTAGGATTTGTTTGATCTCTACTATCAGCACACATAGTACTTATTTCTTAATTTTAAAATTTAATTTATTAAAATTTAATAATTAGCATAATCGGACATTTATTTCTTTGGCAGCAGGAAAATGATACTATTGCCTACAATAATAAACCAGACTGCCAAAATATATAAATGATACTTGAATATGCAAAAATAAATAAAATATAGTCTGGAAAAAAAATTATTATATATATATATATATATATATATATATATATATATTAGGGCAGCTAGCAAGGAACCAATCTATGTAAATTCCAAACAAATCACAAAATATATACAGCGCCTTGAATATGGGCATTACAATACCTTCTACCCTCGCTAGCTTAGCCAGTCTAAATTACAATGCCTTGAAAAAGGATTCATACCCCTGGAAATTTTCCACATTTTGTCATGTTACAACCACAAACGTAGATGTATGTAATTGGGATTTTATGTGATAGACAACACAAAGTGGCACATAATTGTGAAGTCGAAGAAAAAAGGTTTAAATGGTTTTCTAAATTGTTTACAAATAAATATCTGAAAAGTGTGGTGTGCATTTGTATTCAGCCCCCTGTACTCTGATACCCCTTACTAAAACCTAGTGGAACAATTTGCCTTCAGAAGACACCTTATTAATAATTAGAGTCCACCTGTGTGTAATTTAATCTTGGTATAAATACAGCTGTTCTGTAAAGCCCTCAGATTTAATAGAGAACATTAGAAAACAAACAGCATCATGAAGATCAAGGAACACACCAGACAGGTCAGGGATAAAGTCATGGAGAAGTTTAAAGCAGGGTTTAGGTTATAACAAATTATCCCAAGCTTTGAACGTCTCACGGAGCACTGTTCAACCCATCATCCAAAAATGGAAAGAGTATGTGTCAGACACTGCCTGGCGGTATCTCTAGCAGCCCACAGCGTGGGGTTCCTCAGGGCGAGGGGTCTAAGTCCCAGAGAATGGTCAGGGTCACGAGCCAGGTTCAGCAGCCAGGGGTCAAACAGGAGACAATCAGCAGGGTCAGGATCAAGCAGAGGTCGGCAACAGGAAGCTTCACTAATCAGATCACAGGAACAGGATAATAAGACCAAACGGCAATGCACATACCTTCTGTACCATTTAAATAGCGTGCCCTGCGCTGTCATTGGTGACAGACGTGTGTCCGCGATCACGAGTGTGCATGCGCGGCCGGTGCTGTTGCCACGATCGCTCAGGTCCTGCTGCCCGCCAGCTAGAGCATGTCGGTGTTCTGCGCATGCGCCGCCCGGCGTATCGCGGCAGAACACCCGATCCTGACAGTATGGCACAACTGCAAACCTACCAAGACATGACCGTCCACCTAAACTGACAGGCTGGGCAAGGAGAGCATTAATCAGAGAAGTAGCCAAGAGCCCCATGGTAACTCTTGAGGAGCTGCAGAGATCCACAGCTCAGGTGAGAGAATCTGTCCACAGGACAACTATTGGTCGTGCATTCCACAAATCTGGCCTTTATAGAAGAGTGGCAAGAAGAAAGCCATTGTTGAAAGAAAGCCATAAGAAGTCCCATTTGCAGTTTGTGAGAAGCTGTCTAGGGGACACAGCAAACGTGGAAGAAGGTGCTCTGGTCAGATGAGACCAAAATTGAACTTTTTGGCCTAAAAGCAAAACGCTATGTGAGGTGGAAAACTAACACTGCACGTCACCCTGAACACTCCATCCCCACTGTGGTTGCAGCATCATGTTGTGGGGATGCTTTTCTTTAGCAGGGATAGGGAAGCTGGTCAGAGTTGATGGGAAGATAGATGGAGCCAAATACAGGGCAATCTTAGAATAAAAACTGTTAGAGACTGGGGTGGAGATTCACCTTCCAGCAGGACAACGACCCTAAACATACAGCCAGAACTACAATGGAATGGTTTAGATCAAAGCATATTCATGTGTTAGAATGGCCCAGTCAAAGTTGAGACCTAAATCCAATTGAGAATCTGTGGTAAGACTTGAAAATTGCTGTTTGTAGCAATTGTGCATACAGAGATGGACGCGGTCACCCATCTTGCTAAGGATCCTCCATCTTGTACCTCTTTCCTCCAAATCCCCCCTCCCTCTCTGTTGAGTGACACATGGTCCCTGGATGCTGAGATCAAAAAGGTATCAAGGCCCAACATGAGAGCTCATGGTTATAAACCCCAATTAGCCTGCCCCCCCCCGTATGTCTGCAAGACTCTTGCTGGAAAAGGATCATAAAGCCATAAACCAAGCCCTTCACTCAGCTTCAAAGACGTTCCAGATAAACCGTAAAACAGGCATCACATTCAAAATCCATTTTCCCCTATGATTTCACATCTTGGAATATGAAAGACTTACATAAAAACCAGGCATATATTCAGACCAGTCACTTTAATACAAGTCATCTGATATATTACACCCCCTAGCTGACATCTACAGGACAGCAGAAAATGATATCTACTTAACCGTCCCAGCAGGTATGTTATATTTCATAGCTAGACGTTCGGCAGGTGATTCTGCAGATTAATCTACTCATGGATAGAATGTTACAAGTATCCAGGAAAGCTATTGCCCTGGTATCAACTTGGGAGGGATTTTGGTTCTAGCTTGGGTCTCCACCTGCAACACTTGCCCAAATGAGGCAATTGGTTCTCTGCTTCAGTGAGATACCCTGCTGAGTTCCTAGAAAAGCTAAGCTGAGTTGAGCTAGTTGAAGAATTCTCCCTTTTCACATCGGAACCAAATTTGGGAGATAAAGGCCCTTCTGCTCTGACACTTGAAAGCTGCTTAACCCTGGACTTTTGGCAAGTACTTTATATCTCTCTCTCTCTCTCTATATATATATATATATATATATATATATATATATATATATTGGCTACATCTTTAAATATTTTTATTGCACCCTTTTTGACCTTCTAGTAATAAATCTTACTTTCTGAAAGTGTTGAACTGTTTCT